AACTGTCTTGGACCATTGAGTGTTTGAATAAGTTGCATACTCAGTAGGCCAGTAGGGTGTGGAGAGCCTTCAATGTGCTCACTGAGCCCAGAATGATGACCTGGGGCCACTGAGTGACTGAGGTGAGGCAGGCTCTGCAACAGGGAGAAAGTCACTCATGAGTGTGATATCCTGTTTAAACAACAAGGAAGTGTGTAAGACATTTAGAAAAGTTTCCATAAAAAATGGCCCCATTTCTTCTTAAAGTATGCCAACAGATGAAACTTCAGGGTCTTGGAAAAAATCAATAGGTGGTGCAGTTCTTTCAAGAATGATATTGGGTAAAGGGGTATTACATAATATAATTTGTTTTCTTTTCCCTGATAAATGATAACCTTCAATTTTTGTGCCAAATGAGTCTTTAAAAAATTCAAGTTACATTCTCTGGAAGACACCTTCTCAAGAACTCTCTATAGAAGACAGCAGATTACAATCTTTAGTATTGTAACATGCAAATAAGTTTCATAAAACCAAAAAAACCCCCAGCATTTTTTGAGTAATATCATTTGAAAGAATTATGGTATGTTGAAGTAATTCATTTTTGGAGTATCCTTTAGCTTTCTGTTCGGAAAGAAAATGGAGAAATTAGGCAACTATTGGAATGATTTCAATTTCATTATTCAACAGCATCGATGCGCTACTTTCTTGTTCCAAGAATGTATCTATTAACAGTGATGTTTTGCCTTACAGCTTTTCTGGGAGAAGAGGCTACAAGGACTTAGTGCATCAGATGTAACAGAACAAATTATAAAAACCATGGAACTACCTAAAGGTCTTCAAGGTATTATCCAAGTTCAGTTGAGCAGTTACACGCTGTGTGCCAGGCTCTGTGTTAGAGGCTGTGGATTCAGACATGATTGAGACAAAGTCTTTACTATGGGGCATCGTGTGCTGTGCTGGGTGATAGACCTCTTGTGTTTAGTACACTCAGGGAAAATGTCCTTGAAAAGCGTGTGTGTTTCAGGGATGCTTCCATGCTGTTGTTACCTAAGACTTTTTCTCTGTAGAAATTTTGGCTTTCATTTAGATTCATCATGTAAGTTAACCCATGTGCTGCTTTTAGAACCCATGCAGCTGAGTGGCAGAATTTCCCAAGCTTCCTGCTCTGAGCAGCATCTGGCCCCAGCACTTGCTCTTTCTGTCCTCCTCTTATCAAAAAAAACCTGCTAACAGCTCACCTCTCTCCTTCCGCAACTGCTGCTGCAAACAGTGGGAACAGGTGCACATTGGTCCTGTAGCAGCAGCAAGTGGGATCTGGGAGCGAGAACTCAGTTGCTGGTGTACCTGTCATATCATCTGTTAATTCCAAGTTCTAGAGAAACATTATTCTTCAAATATTAGAGCTTAGGCTTCTACATCTTGATAGAGTATAGACTGCTCAAAAATCCTCATAATTCATGGTCAGCATATTCTCTCATCCATCTATGTTCTTGGAAATCACTGCTTTATTAGCAAGTTTAGGACTTCAGGCAGTGCATTTGAATGTGGCCTTGGTGCCGGTCTCCTCCAAGTAGCCAGGGTGTGCAATTATTCGTTCTGTTAGTTTGGATATTTTGTTAGATATTTGAAAAAGCTGTTAAAAGCTGCGAAGTGTGGCATCCCTACACTAGCTTCTCCTTTGAAGTCCTAAAACAAAGGCGATAAGTGTTGAGATAGTGCTGGAAATTAATGCTAAAAGCTGCAAGAGAAACTATTCCAGGACTCCAGGGACACTTCATGGAGATACTTGAGTATAATAAGACTTTTGTATGGACTTAGGTCATTAAAATAATTGACCTTGCTTGAGGAAATGTAGCCAACTTTTAGAAAGTATAGTACTTTGGAAAATGTATTTTAGAGTTATGTTTCAGTTTTATTAAAATGCTCAGCTGTTTTGTTACTGTTCTTAAATGTTGATTCTTTGGTGTGTAATAATTGTTAAGTACCTATATTATCCTTTGCTACTTTGGTTTGTGTCAGTTTTAAATCTGATCCTGAAGGAGCAGAAGAATATCCATTGTTTTAGGTTATATAAAGTTTTCTTAGCACATCTGTAAGTTTCCTGTAATTAGTCCTGATGTCTAATTGCAGGAGTTGGTCCAGGTAGTAACGACGAGACCCTTTTATCTGCTGTTGCCAGTGCTTTGCACACAAGCTCTGCACCAATCACAGGACAGGTCTCCGCGGCTGTGGAGAAGAACCCCGCCGTCTGGCTTAACACATCTCAACCCCTCTGCAAGGCTTTCATCGTCACAGATGAAGACATTAGGTGAGGTGGCGTAACATAACTTCGAAACCTTGGTTTTAACAAGTTAAAAAATTTGATAAATTTTATACTGCTTATTAGCTTTGGTGGTACATCTAGTAAGTGATGAATCAATCCAAAAGTTACACTTTTTTTTTTCAACAGATCTTTTGTTTAATGAATGGAAGGTGATATAGAATGTTTAGAGCAAATGTGCTCTTGAAAAAGGTAGAAGTGCTGTTGTTACCAGGGGCGTCATCACAATCATGTGCTGAGGGCAGATCGGTGGCACTCTCTGCACCCCATTTTGGCAGTGTCTTTTGCAAGTTGGGGTTCAGCCCTTCTGCTCTCAAGAACCCCTTTCATTCAGTTAGGCCCTTTGTAATCGCTTCCTGCATTGGCATGTCTGCACACCAATCCCTCTTTAAAGCATATCAGAGCCATGCTGCTTTAAGCTCAGTTGTGTTTTCAGAATTCAGCTTACTTACCTTGATTATTCTTACCTCGCTTAAGCTCAAGTTAGAGATTTATTATCTCTACTTGACCTTGTTTCAAGTTAAGATTTAAGGTGAGTCTAAAGACACACACACACATACACACATACACTCTGCCAGATGAGGAGCAAATGGGAAAGAAGCAAAGGATGAAGCAGTAAACCAGAGCCAGGAATGAGGAGAGGCCACAGGCTACTTCTATTAACACCTTTTACTCTTTCTAAGGCTGGGCCATAAATTAGGTTTTTAGCAGAAAATAGGGAAAAGAAAACATACAACGCAGATTGATAATGCCCAGAAGTATAAACAAACCATTGCCCAGAGGAAGCAAAACTATTCCAGATATTAAGACCAGAGATTCTTACATGGGATTTATGAACTTCAGTATCAGTACCACAGAATGATTCTGCAGTATACTGTATTTTCTTTAAGACTAGGACAGACACTGTGTGTACTTCACTGTTTCTAGCCTCTGCATGTTAGATCAGGAAGTTCAACTAGAGTATCGGTCCTAGGCAAAACCAGCAGGTGGCACTTTTGAATCATAATTTTTGAATATGTTTTATATTTGTACTTTTTTCTAAATACATAAAAAGTTAGCATGGAAATGTTTTTAAATTCATGAGTTTATAGTCATTCCTTTTACAAAGATGTAAAAGGGTTCAAAGTTGTATTTGTATGCCTTGATTGTGTGGAATTTTATAATCAGCTTTATTTTTTAAGAAAAACAAAATGTAGAATCAAGGAAAAAAAATCATCTTGCTTTTTTTTTTTTGGATTATTCTTACCCTTGAGGAAGGAAATTACTCGGGAAACAAATTCTCACCTGTCTTAGTACCCAGTTAAACAGCAGGGATTTCACTAGGCCATTAGGGGTGTTGACTGAGTTCTGTGCGTGACATCCTGGGAATGTTGATGGCCTCAACCCCAGATGTTTTGATTACAGAGGAAACTATCTCAGAGTCAGACCTGGATGATTTCCTTTCAGGGTAAACTTGTCTAACAAATTGCCCCTTGATTTCATTGTCATAGAAATGTTGAATTAGTACAGGTTCAGAGAAATTTAATGCAAATGGGAATTGTTATCCTTCTTCCAATTGAGTAGCCACTATTGTTTCATTAAACCTTCAACTAAAGATCTCAACACACAGTGTATACTTTTTTCTGCACATTTTGTGGTATTTTCATCTAGGGGTGTAATTGTTTTCTAATACTGAGTAACACATGCTCACAAATTTAGCAGCTTGAAATAACACTTGTTTATAGCTCACAGTTCTATCAGTCAGAAGCCTGGGCCAGGCATGGCTGGATTCTCTGCCCTTGCTTTTACAAGGCTGAAATCAAAGGGTGGGTGGGACTACATTCCCTTCTGGATATTGGGGTCCTCCTTCAAGTTCCTGTGATTGTTGCAGAATTCATTTCCTTGTAGCTGTAGTACTGAGGCCCTTTTCTCTCATGGCTGTGGGATGGGGCTGCTCTCAGCAGTTAGAGACTGACAGCAGGTCCTGCCCCGTGGCCTCCTCCATTTTCCTTCTCCAACTTCTTTCAGGAAGGACCGGCCCCTTTTAAGGGCTCTTAGGTCAAGCCCTCTGCAATAATCTCTTTTGATCATCTCCTAATCAATTGATTAGTAACCCAATTAATGAGTAATACCCGATCATATTCATAAGTTCTGCCTGCCCTTAAGGGAGGGAGTTATACAAGGAGAGTGGGCACAGGAGTGGAGCACGGGCTTTTTGGGGGCTGTGTTGGAATCCTGCCTACCACACTGGGCACAAGCTTTCACAAATTGGGGGGTAATGCTCCTGACAAAAGAGGATCAACTGCAAATTAAAGATATACTTCTCTGGCAGACGCACCACTTGCAAATACATGTTGAGTAGATGAATGACGTTAGCAAGAAGTAATAGTTAACTGGGAGAAAAAAATAAAGCGTAGAAAGGATATAAAATCAAACAGCAGAACTGTCTTGGACCATTGAGTGTTTGAATAAGTTGCATACTCAGTAGGCCAGTAGGGTGTGGAGAGCCTTCAATGTGCTCACTGAGCCCAGAATGATGACCTGGGGCCACTGAGTGACTGAGGTGAGGCAGGCTCTGCAACAGGGAGAAAGTCACTCATGAGTGTGATATCCTGTTTAAACAACAAGGAAGTGTGTTAAGACATTTAGAAAAGTTTCCATAAAAAATGGCCCCATTTCTTCTTAAAGTATGCCAACAGATGAAACTTCAGGGTCTTGGAAAAAATCAATAGGTGGTGCAGTTCTTTCAAGAATGATATTGGGTAAAGGGGTATTACATAATATAATTTGTTTTCTTTTCCCTGATAAATGATAACCTTCAATTTTTGTGCCAAATGAGTCTTTAAAAAATTCAAGTTACATTCTCTGGAAGACACCTTCTCAAGAACTCTCTATAGAAGACAGCAGATTACAATCTTTAGTATTGTAACATGCAAATAAGTTTCATAAAACCAAAAAAACCCCCAGCATTTTTTGAGTAATATCATTTGAAAGAATTATGGTATGTTGAAGTAATTCATTTTTGGAGTATCCTTTAGCTTTCTGTTCGGAAAGAAAATGGAGAAATTAGGCAACTATTGGAATGATTTCAATTTCATTATTCAACAGCATCGATGCGCTACTTTCTTGTTCCAAGAATGTATCTATTAACAGTGATGTTTTGCCTTACAGCTTTTCTGGGAGAAGAGGCTACAAGGACTTAGTGCATCAGATGTAACAGAACAAATTATAAAAACCATGGAACTACCTAAAGGTCTTCAAGGTATTATCCAAGTTCAGTTGAGCAGTTACACGCTGTGTGCCAGGCTCTGTGTTAGAGGCTGTGGATTCAGACATGATTGAGACAAAGTCTTTACTATGGGGCATCGTGTGCTGTGCTGGGTGATAGACCTCTTGTGTTTAGTACACTCAGGGAAAATGTCCTTGAAAAGCGTGTGTGTTTCAGGGATGCTTCCATGCTGTTGTTACCTAAGACTTTTTCTCTGTAGAAATTTTGGCTTTCATTTAGATTCATCATGTAAGTTAACCCATGTGCTGCTTTTAGAACCCATGCAGCTGAGTGGCAGAATTTCCCAAGCTTCCTGCTCTGAGCAGCATCTGGCCCCAGCACTTGCTCTTTCTGTCCTCCTCTTATCAAAAAAAACCTGCTAACAGCTCACCTGTCTCTCCTTCCGCAACTGCTGCTGCAAACAGTGGGAACAGGTGCACATTGGTCCTGTAGCAGCAGCAAGTGGGATCTGGGAGCGAGAACTCAGTTGCTGGTGTACCTGTCATATCATCTGTTAATTCCAAGTTCTAGAGAAACATTATTCTTCAAATATTAGAGCTTAGGCTTCTACATCTTGATAGAGTATAGACTGCTCAAAAATCCTCATAATTCATGGTCAGCATATTGTCTCATCCATCTATGTTCTTGGAAATCACTGCTTTATTAGCAAGTTTAGGACTTCAGGCAGTGCATTTGAATGTGGCCTTGGTGCCGGTCTCCTCCAAGTAGCCAGGGTGTGCAATTATTCGTTCTGTTAGTTTGGATATTTTGTTAGATATTTGAAAAAGCTGTTAAAAGCTGCGAAGTGTGGCATCCCTACACTAGCTTCTCCTTTGAAGTCCTAAAACAAAGGCGATAAGTGTTGAGATAGTGCTGGAAATTAATGCTAAAAGCTGCAAGAGAAACTATTCCAGGACTCCAGGGACACTTCATGGAGATACTTGAGTATAATAAGACTTTTGTATGGACTTAGGTCATTAAAATAATTGACCTTGCTTGAGGAAATGTAGCCAACTTTTAGAAAGTATAGTACTTTGGAAAATGTATTTTAGAGTTATGTTTCAGTTTTATTAAAATGCTCAGCTGTTTTGTTACTGTTCTTAAATGTTGATTCTTTGGTGTGTAATAATTGTTAAGTACCTATATTATCCTTTGCTACTTTGGTTTGTGTCAGTTTTAAATCTGATCCTGAAGGAGCAGAAGAATATCCATTGTTTTAGGTTATATAAAGTTTTCTTAGCACATCTGTAAGTTTCCTGTAATTAGTCCTGATGTCTAATTGCAGGAGTTGGTCCAGGTAGTAACGACGAGACCCTTTTATCTGCTGTTGCCAGTGCTTTGCACACAAGCTCTGCACCAATCACAGGACAGGTCTCCGCGGCTGTGGAGAAGAACCCCGCCGTCTGGCTTAACACATCTCAACCCCTCTGCAAGGCTTTCATCGTCACAGATGAAGACATTAGGTGAGGTGGCGTAACATAACTTCGAAACCTTGGTTTTAACAAGTTAAAAAATTTGATAAATTTTATACTGCTTATTAGCTTTGGTGGTACATCTAGTAAGTGATGAATCAATCCAAAAGTTACACTTTTTTTTTTCAACAGATCTTTTGTTTAATGAATGGAAGGTGATATAGAATGTTTAGAGCAAATGTGCTCTTGAAAAAGGTAGAAGTGCTGTTGTTACCAGGGGCGTCATCACAATCATGTGCTGAGGGCAGATCGGTGGCACTCTCTGCACCCCATTTTGGCAGTGTCTTTTGCAAGTTGGGGTTCAGCCCTTCTGCTCTCAAGAACCCCTTTCATTCAGTTAGGCCCTTTGTAATCGCTTCCTGCATTGGCATGTCTGCACACCAATCCCTCTTTAAAGCATATCAGAGCCATGCTGCTTTAAGCTCAGTTGTGTTTTCAGAATTCAGCTTACTTACCTTGATTATTCTTACCTCGCTTAAGCTCAAGTTAGAGATTTATTATCTCTACTTGACCTTGTTTCAAGTTAAGATTTAAGGTGAGTCTAAAGACACACACACACATACACACATACACTCTGCCAGATGAGGAGCAAATGGGAAAGAAGCAAAGGATGAAGCAGTAAACCAGAGCCAGGAATGAGGAGAGGCCACAGGCTACTTCTATTAACACCTTTTACTCTTTCTAAGGCTGGGCCATAAATTAGGTTTTTAGCAGAAAATAGGGAAAAGAAAACATACAACGCAGATTGATAATGCCCAGAAGTATAAACAAACCATTGCCCAGAGGAAGCAAAACTATTCCAGATATTAAGACCAGAGATTCTTACATGGGATTTATGAACTTCAGTATCAGTACCACAGAATGATTCTGCAGTATACTGTATTTTCTTTAAGACTAGGACAGACACTGTGTGTACTTCACTGTTTCTAGCCTCTGCATGTTAGATCAGGAAGTTCAACTAGAGTATCGGTCCTAGGCAAAACCAGCAGGTGGCACTTTTGAATCATAATTTTTGAATATGTTTTATATTTGTACTTTTTTCTAAATACATAAAAAGTTAGCATGGAAATGTTTTTAAATTCATGAGTTTATAGTCATTCCTTTTACAAAGATGTAAAAGGGTTCAAAGTTGTATTTGTATGCCTTGATTGTGTGGAATTTTATAATCAGCTTTATTTTTTAAGAAAAACAAAATGTAGAATCAAGGAAAAAAAATCATCTTGCTTTTTTTTTTTTGGATTATTCTTACCCTTGAGGAAGGAAATTACTCGGGAAACAAATTCTCACCTGTCTTAGTACCCAGTTAAACAGCAGGGATTTCACTAGGCCATTAGGGGTGTTGACTGAGTTCTGTGCGTGACATCCTGGGAATGTTGATGGCCTCAACCCCAGATGTTTTGATTACAGAGGAAACTATCTCAGAGTCAGACCTGGATGATTTCCTTTCAGGGTAAACTTGTCTAACAAATTGCCCCTTGATTTCATTGTCATAGAAATGTTGAATTAGTACAGGTTCAGAGAAATTTAATGCAAATGGGAATTGTTATCCTTCTTCCAATTGAGTAGCCACTATTGTTTCATTAAACCTTCAACTAAAGATCTCAACACACAGTGTATACTTTTTTCTGCACATTTTGTGGTATTTTCATCTAGGGGTGTAATTGTTTTCTAATACTGAGTAACACATGCTCACAAATTTAGCAGCTTGAAATAACACTTGTTTATAGCTCACAGTTCTATCAGTCAGAAGCCTGGGCCAGGCATGGCTGGATTCTCTGCCCTTGCTTTTACAAGGCTGAAATCAAAGGGTGGGTGGGACTACATTCCCTTCTGGATATTGGGGTCCTCCTTCAAGTTCCTGTGATTGTTGCAGAATTCATTTCCTTGTAGCTGTAGTACTGAGGCCCTTTTCTCTCATGGCTGTGGGATGGGGCTGCTCTCAGCAGTTAGAGACTGACAGCAGGTCCTGCCCCGTGGCCTCCTCCATTTTCCTTCTCCAACTTCTTTCAGGAAGGACCGGCCCCTTTTAAGGGCTCTTAGGTCAAGCCCTCTGCAATAATCTCTTTTGATCATCTCCTAATCAATTGATTAGTAACCCAATTAATGAGTAATACCCGATCATATTCATAAGTTCTGCCTGCCCTTAAGGGAGGGAGTTATACAAGGAGAGTGGGCACAGGAGTGGAGCACGGGCTTTTTGGGGGCTGTGTTGGAATCCTGCCTACCACACTGGGCACAAGCTTTCACAAATTGGGGGGTAATGCTCCTGACAAAAGAGGATCAACTGCAAATTAAAGATATACTTCTCTGGCAGACGCACCACTTGCTCTATTTTTTTTCACTTTGTAATAAGTTTACTCTCCTACTCGCTGTTAAGAATGAGAGCCTGCCAGTGAGACTGATGTGCCGTTCGTCATAAGCCTTGAGTCCCTGAGCCTGAAGCAAGACTAACTCTTCTTGACCTTGTTCCACTACATGAAAATGTGTTCAGCTCATTTCTTTTAATATGACAGAGGCTATAGTTCTCAGACTAACCCAATGACAGCCTCCCTCTACTTAAAAATTCATTTAAAAAATAGGAGTCTGTATTACTTAACTCTGTGCTGTTTTTAGAGTAATAAAGATGACATCTAAAGGTTTTGTGGCTACACACGTTATGCTGACTTCTCACCTTGGATGCTGTCTCATGAGATAAAGGGACATGCAGGCTGGAAGTGTAGTAACTTCACAACTGGGTGAGCACCCAAGGAGTGAATGCTCAGTGGAGTCTTTAGAAAATTGCTCCCCGACCCTTCTCCTTTCCCACGTTTGGGGCAGTGGTGCAATATGTCTTCCTCAATTACTGGTAGAGAAAATCGCTTTTTTTCTTCAGCAGACCCCTGGTATTCCTTGCTGTGTCTCTGGGCGCCTCCATCATAACCAGCTTTCCTCTGGCCTCGGGAGGCGAATCGTCCTGTTTTCTAGACAAGGCTAAGCCTTGCACCTGGCCTTTGCTTCTCCACTTCTGGGTGTGAATCTCTATCTCTCGTCTATTCTTGCTAAGACTGTTGTGTGAACCCTTCTCTTGTCCTGTCAGGGAGCCGCTCTCTCAAATTTTTTTTTCAGCTTTTTAAAGATAAAGTACATACCAGTAACCTTTCTGTGCTGTTTCTGTCTAAGGGTTCAGAGCCTTTTTTTATGACTTGGCTTTATTAACTCTCTTTTGGGTTCCTGCTGCAGTGCCCAAGACACAAACTGTGGCGTGTTCTCAACCTACTCAGATCATCCCAGCTGAAGAGATGTTTTTCAGTTTCCATCCTTGGAAATAGGATCATGTGGTCTTACCTCCTTCGTGACGGCATGTTGCCAGCAGGCCTGGAACCCGGGAGGGAGCTCTGACAGGCTTTCCCCTGACATAGCCAGAGAATGCCAAACTAAACCCCAGTTTATTATGCCCCTACTTCTCCATCTTTCTCAGAGCTCCAATGAACAAATCTCTTTTCTTCTTTTATTTTCCGTATTACTTCCCTTTTCTATGCCTGCTTGCAAATTATTACCAATTATCCTTTATAGGAATCACCCCAAATCCTCACATACTTGAAATTTTTGAAGTTGAAGAAAAGGTCACTGAAGTAAATCTTTATACTTCTGGCATTATCTGTAAGGTGAGGGTCACCTGCCTGTCTGAATATCCGCCCCTCTTTTTGGCAAGGCTCCTCCTTGGTGTGATTTGGTTTTGTGAGTGTAGACATGATTTTTACAAAGTCTGAGAGGTAGAAAATGTATTTCTGAGGAATTTCCATGATTTTGAAGTAAAAATAAACAAGTAGCAGCTGCACGTTTCCCTTACTTGCCAAATTATTAGTGTCTTTTTATTCTGCTTTTAAAAGGAAACAGGAAGAGCGAGTACAACAGGTCCGTAAGAAATTAGAAGAAGCACTGATGGCAGACATCTTGTCACGAGCCGCCGATACAGAAGAGATGGATATTGAAGTGGACAGTGGAGATGAAGCCTAAGAATATGATCAGGTGGGCTAACAGAGAGAGAGAGAGAGAGACGTGGGACTTAAGATGTTTTCTTTTCATTTCTCCTCTGCAGTATATAAAAAGCCTTCTCCTCTACATGCACTGTTTGGCCCCCTGTGTATTTAAGGACCATATAAGTCATTGCTTCATTTTTTTCTCATTATGTGAAGACATTCACACCCTTGCAGCCATTTGCAAGGGCTCTAGCTTCCTTTATTAGCCATGGGGATCACCTCCAGAGTGTCTAGGGAAGAGCCGGGGAAGAAGGAAAGGGCTCTGCCAGGTGGGGGTAGCAGTCCCCCCACCGCAGGAGCTTTCAGTGCCTCTTTACGCCCTCCTCAAAACTATGGCCACAGAGTCGGCAAAAATCCCTCCTTTGTCTAGGTTCTCTCTGGCACAGGCTAGATGCGGGAGAATTAACAGGACATACTAAAGTATAATAAATAATTTACCTGAAAAGTACAAATTTTGACCTATCCTGAAATCTGGAACTCCCACGAGTCTCACAGGTTCTGTTCCCCTGGGTGTATCTTCTCTTGATGGTTATGCTCAGATGCCCTGAGGTGTGGCATTTTGCGTCAACTCTGTCCTGCTTTGTTTGGGCAGGCCTTGTCTTGCCTTCTGCCACCCATAAGCCAATTCTTGATTTGTATCCTTGAAGCCAGCTGAAAGGTGAAGGGAAGAGAGGAGAGATGAGAGAGAACCAGCACAGTGGGTAGGAAATCTCTGCCCCTGGAGGTGCCTTTGAGCCCTTCTCTATCCTTTTCAGTTTGGGAACTCACCCCTTGTCCTGAGAGCCTCTTTTGCATCCAGTCCTGGGTCCTGGGGACACTCGTGGACACAGCCACACAGTCCCTGTGCTCACAAGATGAACGGCATAAGTGTATTAAACAGATGCTCACATGACCATAAGTGTTATAAAGGAAAAACAAAGGCATGAGAGCTGATGGCCGGGGAGCTGGTGGGATGTGAAGGGCCACCACAGAG